CCCTGCCCACCTCCCTTTCTACCACCCCTTGTTCGTTTCCCAGAGTTAGGAGTCTCTCATGTTCTGTCTCCCTTTCTGATATTTCCCACTCATTTTTTTCTCCTTTCCCCTTTATTCCCTTTCACTATCTTTTTATATTCCTTATGGGGTTTTTTAAATTGAATTTGTTTATTGAATGTGTCCTTGATTCCAAGCCCCATGCTAAGGCATGGAGGATATAATCTAAGGCTTTAAGGAGTTTGTAGCCTAGTAGAAGACGAGGAAAAATAGACACATAGAACTGTAAAACAAGGTAGGAAGTATGAAAGGATAAAAGTAACCACAAGACACTAATTAAACTTGGTGTGGGGCAGGGTCAGAGAAAATATCCTGAAAGAAATGATACCTCAGTTGAGTCTTAAAAAATGAGCATAATTATCCAGATGAAGAATGGGGGTGGGGGTGAAGAGTGGGAAAGGAAGTGAGCAGAGAGGGGCATCAGAAATGCATGCACACGGGATCCCTGGGTGGCGCAGTGGTTAGGCGCCTGCCTTTGGCCCAGGGCGCGATCCTGGAGACCCGGATCGAGTCCCACGTGGGGCTCCCGGTGCATGGAGCCTGCTTCTCCCTCTGCCTGTGTCTCTGCCTCTCTCTCTCTCTCTCTCTCTCTCTCTCTATCATAAATAAATAAAAAAATTAAAAAAAAAAAGAAATGCATGCACAGAGATGAGAAATAGCATGCTGAGTGCAGTAAAAGTTGTGGGGCAGAGAATGGTGATAGAAACAGAGAGACAGGTAGGGGCCGGATTATAAAAGACATTGTACTTATATATAGACTTGATTTCATAGGTAAACTCTCCCTGGAAGGTAATAAGTTAATACTGTGAGATACTACTTGAATCTCCCCCCACCAAAATATGCTATATGAGAAAGTGGAGGAGGGAAAGTTTGCATTCAATATTCCCTCTTAGAGAGTCTCAATGCATATCAGCATGTTAGAAATTGAGATAGTCTACAAGAAGGAGTTCCATAAGAAACCAGTTTAACTTTGTTTAAACTAGCATTTCCCAAACAAATTTGAGCATGGAAACTTGTTTTGTTATGCAGTCCCTATTAACATTCTGTGTAGCAAATATTCTTTGGAACTCACTTTGGAAAATGCTGTAGGACCTGAGGAGCCATTTGAAGCTGGAAGATAGTATAGTCCTATTTGTCTTTTAGGTAAGTCACTGTGATTTGATCATGGAAATATTGAAAATAGGGAGAGACTAGTTGAAGGTTATTATTTAGGCAAGAGGTTATAATGTCCTAAATTAATAGACACGAGAATGGAAAGGGGTATATTTGACAAATATTTAGAAGGTAAGCTTGAGAGAGCTTGGGAAAGGAGGGAAAAAGAGGATTGACCCAAGTGATCACATGGGTAATGAGTCCACTCATTGAGACCAAGAATGCGAGAGCAGGTTTGAGTGCTTCCAGCCAAGACCAATGACAGAATCATCCAGATTGCCAACCCATAGAACTGTGAGAAATAATAAGCCATTGTTTTAAGCCAGTAAGTTTTGGGCTGATTTGATATATAGCAAAAGCTGACCAAAACAGAAATCAGTACCAACTGTGCAGAGCCTCTATAACAAAGGGGTAAAACATGTGACATTAGCTCTAAGAGTTGGGGGTGAATAGAGTCTGGGAGAGCAGTGCAAAAACTAGTATAAGGGCAGGAGAGAGGCAGTTGAGCTATAAAGAGGTACCACAATGGGCAATACTGTCACCCGAGGCCATTTGGAAGATGGAAAATGTGCCCAATGATCTTATGAATCTGGCTGCTAAGAATATTTCTAGATTTCTAATATTCTAGAAATATTAAAACTATCAACTGTCTGAGCTACTTATAAAAGTATGGGAAGAGGGATAAACCAAAGGGAACCAGTTAACTCTGCAGCAGAAATTAGAGTCCATGATTTGTCAGGTTGCAAACTAAACTCCTTTCTCACCTGCAGTCTCTCCAGCTGGCAAAAGACCTAAAAACAAAGATCAAATCTAGAATGCTGACAGTAAAATATAGCCTCAGGTTCAAGGTCAAGTTAAGGGTGTGCCTGAAGACCCTTTGTTAAGACCACTGAAAAATTAAATCTGATATTCAGTCTATCTTCTCAAGCCGACTAAAGTCTTTCTCAGACCCATGTTCTGAAAAGGAATGGACTTGTGTGGAAAATACACAAGTTTTTAAGGAAGTTGTACCAGGTTAGACTAAAAAAGATAGAAACCATTCTAAATGAATAGAAACATCACAAGTTTCTACCAACAGAAATCAGGCTGACAAAGCCAGTCAGCTACAAATATAGATTATTTCCTATGGAAATGTAAAGAATAAGGTGCACTAGTGCATATTCCCAGCTGAATTTCAGAATTGCCATGGACCAGTGATTAATCAGAACTTCCTGTTCTTCCCCTTCTTGAACAGAAGTGGCTGTTGATTGGCACTAAATGTTGGGGAGTGAGGTGGGGAACAGATAACTTTTTTCTTAGTTCGTAGCTCTCTCCAGCTCAAGAGGAATCATACTTAAGGAGATGCAATTGAGGGGCATCAGCATACCTAGACCAAATGCAGATCATGAGATACTGGACTTTGAGTACCATGCTACCATAATAGAATAAAGCTTGGTATGTGTGTGTGGTGGTGGGGGTCTTAGAAAAGGATTGAGTGTATTTTGTTAATAGGAAGGATATAAATATTTGTGACCAGCAAGCACACTGTGATACCAATAAATAAGGTTATGTCCTAAATTTTTTTCTTTCCTTTTCTTCTCTTTTTCTTTTTCTTGTGTCTATATGAGAAGATGGATGTTAGCTAAAGCCACAATGGTAATCATTTCACAATATATGTAAATCAAACTGTCCCACTGTATGCATTAAACTTATACAGTAATGTATATCAATTATTACTCAATAAAACTGGGTGGGGGAAAGCATGTAAGAAAAAACAAACAAAAATATGGCCACAAATTCTTTGCAACTCTTACCATTGAGAGGTTGAGTCTATTGTCCCAACCCTTGATTTAACATGGCCTTATTCACAAGTCTAGTAGTAGGGTACTGACTCTTGGATATATGCCTCAGTTTATTTTTATGTGGCCTCTCATTCTTCAGAGACAGGCCAGTTTCCTCACATGATAATCACAGGGTGGTATTCAAAATAGAAGAAGGTGGAGGCTGTAAATCTTTTCAAAGCATAGGTTCAAGAACATTCCCAAAGTCACTTCTGAAACATTTTATTGGTCAAAATAAGACACCAGAACAGCCCAAATTCAATGAGATGGGGGTAGTAGGGAGGGCTAGAAGTACCACCTCTTAATAGGAAGCTCTACAAAAAATCTGTGGCCATACTGTACTCCTCTAGGTAAGAAACTTTCAAACTCCAAGAACATTTTAAATTAAGTTTACAAATGTTTAAAAGAAGGAAAATATAATATTAATTTTTTGTATCAAGAAGAAATATGTTCTTCAACAGAAAAAAAAGTAATTTATAGGTTAAAAGAGACTAAAAGGTCTTATCCACTAATTACAGTGTATGAACTGTACTGGAATTCAATTTAAAAATATAAACTGTGAGGGGTGCCTGGGTGGCTCAGGTGGTAAAGGGTCTGACTCATGATTTTGGCTCAGGATCATGATCTCAGGATCATGAGATGAAGCTCTGTGTTGGGCTCCATGCTCAGTGAGGAGTCTGTAAGAGATTCTCTCTCCCTCACTATCTGCCCCTCTCCCTCTTTCTCATTCTCTCTCCAAAATAAACAAATAAATCTTTAAATATGTATATGTAAACTGAAAATATACATTGATCACATTAATGAGACCATCCGAAATTTGATCACTGACTCAATATTTGATGTTATTAGCAATTATTATTAATTTCTGATACAATATTAATATTTTACTGTTTTTAAAGACTTTAAAATTTAGAGATACATAACGTATTTACAGATGAAATAACATGGTATCTAGGATTCGTTTCAAAATAATATGGAAGGTAGGGTAGTGACTGAGGCTGCAGATGGGACATGGTTAGTCATGTTAGTTTTTAAGGCTGATGAGTACATAGAGATTCATTACAGCATTATATCTACTTTTGTATATGTTAAAAATTATTCATAATAACAAGCTTTAAAGTAAAATTTTTAAAAATGGACTCTGGGCATAATGAATATATGGATATATTTTTGTGTACTTGCAATATTGAATAAAGTGTGTCCTATTAGTATATAACACCAATTTAAAATGTGTAATTTGGTAAGTTAATTAAATTGGATTTTTACCGAGTAATCTTCTTTATTTTTAATATTAAATAATATATATAATATAAAATAATATATAAATGTATTTGTTTAATATAATCTTTATATAAAAACACTTAGATATTAATTTTTTAAAAGATTTAATTTATTCATGAGAGAAACATAGAGAGAGGCAGAGACACAGGCAGAGAGAGAAGCAGGCTCCCTGCGGGATCCTGATGTGAGACTTGATCCCAGGACCCTGGGAGCATGCCCTGTACCAAAGGCAGCACTCACCACTGAGCCACTCAGGCATCCCTTAAATATTAAATATTTTAAGAGAATTTTTGATTCACTAGATTTATATTATTAGATTTTCAAGAGTTAAATGAGCACTTAAGAGAATTTTATATAAAAGTAACTCAAATACATTAAATTTATAAAAGCAGTTTCAAATATATGAAGATGTTTACTCAAGTACATAAACTGCACCAAATATTATTCAGACCTCCTCAAAAGTGAACTGCTAAAAATTTCTAGACTTAGAATAAGATTTGTGACTTGAACATAAAGCCTAAGACACTTATTGTTATTTTTTAACTTAAATAAAGCAAACAAATTTTAATAACCAATAGGCTGTCCAAAGGTGAAAAAATATTTTTCTAGTCACCTGAAACCTTATGTAAGAAATGAGAGCATTGTACAAATTAAAAATAAATAAAATGCAGTTATATGAATTGTACCAACCATTTGTATTATAGCTACATGCAATCTGGCTTCTTCTATTAAAACTTCTTCTGTTAGGGACTCCTCCTCTATATCATCATGTGAAACATTATAAGCATCAGACTAAATTTAAAAACATAAGTAGATAAAATTAAAAATCAGCTAAAATAAATAGGAGCTGTCAAACACTTCACTCAACAAAGATTCCAATAACTCAAATCAGAATTGCTAAAATGAAGGGCTATGTATAACTGAGTCCCTCTTCTTCACATTAAAGAAATGTTGCTTTTTAATTGTGGTAAAGTAACAATTCATTTGGGGAGATCTGCAAGTCAGATTCTCCCCCAAATCTGTCTATGCTTGACTGCTCTCTGAAGCAACCTGTGTTTTCCGCTTTCTATAATAACATGAAGACAAATTGCTCAGCTCCTCAAATGGTCAAAAACAGAAGCCATTCGTAGTTACTAAATCAGCCACTGTATAAAAACATCAATTCTCCTGTATTTGGCAAACAAAGCTAGATAACCAAGACCTTCTCTTTAGAGAGGATTGAAAGAAGTCTTTTCACCAAGATAGCAAAGTTAGTAAGTAAATTCCCCCTCCTCAGTTTTCTGACATTTTATTAGCAGAATCAACTTTTGTATAATAAACGAAAGCAAAAGAGGCAGAGCCAAGAGAGAAGGAGGACTATTTTTTGCCAAGTATCAACTCACAGGAATTATGTATTCAATCTTTGTTTTTTCTTCTACTAAGGTCCAATTAACATTTGTCAAAATTTTTTCTGTTTTGAATAGCGTTATCGTGTTCTGTATTATCTCCTGAATGTGCTTAATGGCATTTTGCATGGCCATTTGCCTTGGGAGGGAAATAGCACACAAACCTGTGACCAGAAAAAACAAGGGTCTTAGTAGAATACAGTGAAGGTGGCAAGAAAAGACAAAATCCTACAAGGTGTAATGAAATCTACTGCTGTAGTGAATCACCTACACAGCTAAACTGTAGTGATTAGAGCAAGAACAAACTGGTCCAAAATTTTCCAGAAAATTACCCAACTAGCTGTTTCTTCTGACTGTATAGCTCAACTTTATCTGACTCAACTGCTAAGGGATGCTTTGTTAGTTTCCTTTCATTCCCATTAACAAGAGATGTGACTTACTACCTCAGGGTCCCCAATCAGTATTTCTCAAAGTATAAGAGACTATGTGTGTTTTCTACAGGTAGGAAGACTGTCTATTAAACTATGCAAATTCCTTGGCTCTGCCTCATACTTAGAGAATCAGATTGACTTTGGAATTTGCATTTTAACAAGCTCTCCAAATGACTTTTATACAAAATTTTTAAAATTTAAAAAATTTAAATTTAAAGCTCACTGCGATAGAGATCCCTCAATTTAGTATATCTGTTTTCTGGCCAGCAAATCTACATGTCCCAAAACTTGTAGCCGTTTGTATCTTCCTGAGGTATGAATTTGAAGTTATTGCTATGAGGTTCACTCACCAAAAAGAATTTAATTAGTGAATGAACTTAGTCTGCTCACTTGGAATTCCAGCTCAATAAAATTGTTCTGTTTTCATAATTGCACATGAAAGGTCTCATAAAGAGTTAAAATGAGTTCTAAATGTTTAGTTTAACTTTACTGCATTCTCTATGGGACACTGTGTACAATGACGGTATTTGAAATTTTCAGGTCCAGAGGCATATCCCTCTTGATACACTGTGGTCCAGAACAAAGATGCATTTTACTGTAGGCTGAAGTTAGACGTTGTCAGCTTTAGATTCAAAATTCCTGTGGCTAAGACCACACAAGAAGAAATTTTTCTCATTTGCGTAATTGCATTGTACCCGTATGATGGAGAAACAGCCACTTTCCGGTTGCTCTCTAGGGAAACATGAGTATATGTGAACCACTTGGTGTCACCAATACCTTTGATTGAACTCCCTGTGTTTAAGATAATCCTGGAAGAGTATGAGGAGGGAATCTTGTAAAGCCTTAGACTGGACAGAAGTAGTTGGTTTGAAACTCTTACTGATAAAACTCAACTCTGTCAAGTATTAAATGTGTGCCACACAGTATTTCTAGAAAGGACGAGTACGGATTCTAAGAGGAAGAAAGACTTTATCATTTACTTTATTTTATAATGAAAATTTTGAGGTTTAGCTACTACAATAAAAAATCCTGGGTGGCTCAGGTGGTTAAGCATTCAATTCTTGATTTTTAGTTCAGGTCATGATCTTGGGGTGTGTGGAGCCTGCTTGGGATTCTCTCCTTCTCTCCCTCTCTGTCTACCTCTCCCCACTCCTCAAAAAAAAAAAGAATTTTTAAAAAAATTTTTAAAGAAAGAAACAGAGAAGAAAAAAATATTACCATGATAGTAAAAACCCCTGGTTGATCTTGCTTTTGATTGTCAGAATAAGAAGAATCATAAGAAAAGAAGTGGGAGAAATCCAGATGTTATATCCTAAGCAAAGAGAATGAAGTGGGGGATCCCTGGGTGGCGCAGTGGTTTGGCGCCTGCCTTTGGCCCAGGGCGCGATCCTGGAGACCCGGGATCGAATCCCACATCGGGCTCCCGGTGCATGGAGCCTGCTTCTCCCTCTGCCTGTGTCTCTGCCTCTCTCTCTCTCTCTCTGTGACTATCATAAATAAATAAATAAAAATTTAAAAAAAAAAGAGAGAATGAAGTGGATCTGGATACCTGGGAGTCTAAGGAAATTGGTGGGAAGGGAGATGTGAGAAAGCTTTCAAAGATCAAATCAACTTCATTTATTCTCCAGCATAGGCTTTCACTGACCAACCATACCTTTCTACTGAGAACAAGAACAAATCCATAACTAGGGGGAAAGGAGAGCTACCAAAAATCTGTCCCATTTACTAGCCCAGTAACAGGAAGTTCTGCTATAGTGCTGGTGGGGCGCAGTTTTAGGAATGGGCATGACTATGAAAAGACACAAGCAGAGGGGCATCTGGGTGGCTCAGTGGTTGAGCATCTGCCTTTGGCTCAGGTCGTGATCCCAGGGTCCTGGAATCGATTCCCACATCAGGCTCCCTCCAGGGAGCCTGCTTCTCCCTCTGCCTATGTCTCTGCCTATCTCTGTGTGTCTCTCATGAATAATTATAAAATCTTAAAAAAAAAAAGACACAAGCAGAGAGATGATATCTCTCATGGGTAGGAAAGAGTAAATTCACCAGACTATTTCCCTGTTTAGAAGAATTCTCCTTCAATATCCTCCTTCCATTGACCTCTCATTAGTTCCATACATCCCAAGAAATCTTCTAATTACAAGTTTTGTTTATCAAGGAGATTGGTACTTAGAGGTAAGCATCCTGAATAATGATTGCAATAATTTCAAGACGTAGAAAAAAAACATCCTCATTATAAATTAATAGATTTTCTCCTTTATCCACATTTTCCTATGAATGCAGCATATGTAAATCTCTGACAATCTGATCAATTCTAGATACTGAAAAAATTATGCACCAGCATAGCTAAAGACCAGGCCATAGGATATTGAGTGATACTAAGGCCCTATTCTAAGACTGTATAATCTCATCTAGCCCTCTCCTTCCCTGTTGACTGTACTGCCACCAATTATCCTAGATTTCTCTACTGACAATGTGTCTATGTGTGATTTTATCATATTATGCATTTTATTATCAATGGCCTCAAATGTCTTCTGGAAATAGGAAACTGTGGCACAGCCTGCTGACTGTCTCCCAAAATCCATCTTCCCCTTCCTCCTTTACAAACTGAATCCCTAAGTTTTGGCTGAGCACATGGCAAGCCAGATAGGGATATATTTCATAGCTTCTCTTACCCAGAATTTGTGACAAAATTCTGGCCAATGGAATTAAGTGATAATGATATATACAATTCCTAGACTGTGCCCCTGAAAGGAAGCTCCCTACTTTCCATTGCCACCCATCTCCCCATTTTCCCTCTCTAGTTGGTTGGATTGAAAATATAGAGGTAGTGAGCTAGCATCTATCCTGCAGACAAGAACACCCCAGGGAGTGGAGAAGAAAGAAAAGAAAAGCAGACCCATCCCACTCTTTTGGACATTTTGATCAAGGGGAAAAGAAAGTTCTCTATCTTGTTTAACCCACTGTGAATGTGGTTTCTGTAAAACTGGCTGAACCAACATCCCAATTAATACAGCATCTATAAATAATGAATGAATGATTTCATAATTTCATGAACTCCATAAGAAATATCCCCATGACTTCCCAACAATAATCTATTTGCATTATTCTTCCCAGTTAATTAATGAAAGATAGATATACTTTACCTAATGTCCTGGCTGAATGAGCCATCATGTATGAATTTATTCCCATAGTCATTAGTGATATTCCCTGTACATACAATATAAACTAAAAAACAAAACGCACAAATAGTTAGAACCAAAAAATGAATAAGTACTCCAAAGGGAATCATTGTTCAACTAACCAACAACACAAAATTCTATCTTAATCCACATTTTTAAATCCAGCTTCTGCTAAGTAAATTGAGGCAGAAGGGTTGTTTTGTGGACACTGCTTGAATATAATATACTGAAGGAGAAATTAGTTTTCGTGTGAATGAGAAAATGATTTGTAATTTCTGGGAGGAATAAGAACACTGATCAAAGAGCTCTCCACAAATTGAACTTCAGTAAAAACAAATTAAAAAAAAACAAAAAACAAAACAAAACAACCAAAGAGCTCTCCACCGTTGCTGCTTTCAGCAGCAGCCATACAAAGCCACCAAGGTTGTAGACATCACAGAAATGGCCCTGGAGCCTGCAGGGTTGGGGAGAAACCCCAGCAACTGCAGGCAGTGTTGACCACAAAGGAAATGGGAAAGTGTGTCTGCCACCAGCATTTACCACAGCTGCTCAGGAGGCTCTGAAGAAGCCTTTAGAAACCATGATGGGGTCTAGAGAGACACGGTGTAGAAGCAAAAACACAACCACTTTTGCAGGTCTTGGTTCTGCCACTTAATAGCAGTGTAACTTGGGGTTAGTTGATTTAACCATTCTGAGTCTCAGTGTCCTTCTCTAGAAACTGGAGTTAAGAGCAGTATGTCCCTAGGAGATTGTTTCTCAAATTTGACTAATAACCCCAGGAACCTAACGTACTTCTAAAAGATGCCAACTTCCAGGTTGGATTATGATTATGTAGGTCTGGGGTGGCACGGAAGGGATTCATGTAATGTCAGATAGATTTGGGAAACACTGTAAGTGATACTCAAATATTAGTTAGCCTTTAGTTGACTTGGTTTTAGTGACAATTCCTTGAACAAAAGAAAACTGAAGGAACTCAGATATTGATTATGATACTTTTCCTTTGGGGATTCACAGGACCCAAATCTCTACAAAAACACAGGTTTGTTTGAACTCCAAATTAATTCCCACATGATGCTTATAGATATAAAGTGCAAATCCTCAGGAAAGATTATGAGGAATCTAATACTCCATTTTAAAAAGAACTTCTTTTGGGACATCACCCAACTTCTTTGCCTAACATACTATTCCCTTTGTTTTGATTTCTCTACATGTAAGATGGAGAGGGTGATAACGGACCCCCCCAAAAAAATATTTTTTAAATGTTATACTGCTGGGGTCTCCTGGAACAGGAGCAAAATGACAAAAAGAAATCCCTGAGTGGGAAATTGGCCATTATCAAGAAACTTTGTACTTCTACCTGCAGATTAAAGTTCCTTGGGAGGTGGGCAGGTGTTCTCAATTCACATTATTTGAGGGGCTTTTCTCCCTCCTAGCAGCAGGTGTGGAATTCATCTGACTGGAAGATGGTCGAGGTGTCCTGGGGATTTCTAGCAACTTTCAGCAATTTCTCCAGCTAATTCACACAATTTTGTCACAAACGATGATAGGCCCTAACACTGTCAGGAGATGCACTGGGCTCTTTAGATCTTTCCTGGAGTCTCAGACCACAGATACTGCCACCACCAGATTGCCCAGAAATCCACCAGATAGCCTATGAAGAAGAGGCTTTGAGGGAGAGTAACATTTATTGAGCTTTTGCTAAATGGCAGGTATTTTACTAAGTATCATCTCAATCCTCAACTGGAAATTGAGGTTCCACAAATCTGGGAAACTTGCCAAAGGTCACCGAGCCTGTGATGATGGAACCAGGACTCGATCCCAAATCCACCTAATTCCTACACTGTTAACCATTACTTAACTGTTGGTCCCTTTCATACTGTCAACATAAACTTTCCTCTGAAATCTCCTTTCTACTTAAAAAAAAAAAAAAACGTTTTCCAAATCTAATTTTTAAAATGGTTAACTTTGGGAGAAGGGAGAGAAGATAGTGACGGAGTAGGAGGACCCTAGGCTTGTCTTGTCCCCACAAACATAACTAAATAGCTATCAACTCATTCTAAATTTCCTAGAAATCAACCCGAAGACTGACAAAACAAAGTCTACAACTAAAGGAAAAGAAGAAGCCACAAGGAGGGTAGGAAGTACAAAGCCATGATTTAGGGGAGAAACAGATCACAACTGCTCTGGAGAGGAGGGAGCCCTGGTCACAGAAAAAGATGAGAGAGAGAGGTACACAGGGGAATGCACAAGGAGAGCACTTCCCTAAAGCTATTGGCTGGGAAGATGAGAGGGACTGATTTTCGTGAGTTCTTGCCACCAGTAGGGCTTAAAGACTGGAGTTTTTTTTTGTTTTGTTTTGTTTTGTTTTTTAAGACTGGAGTTTTAAAGGTTATCCAGCTTGACTGGGATAGAAGCTCTGAGGGTGCTGCCCTACTCCTGAAGAGAAGGCAGACAAACAACCTGGGGGCAGATGGTGTAGAAATAGCATCTGAAGAATGCCTGGGGTACAAGAGAGATGATTCTCTCCTCTTGGAGGATATACCTGAGAGGCAGGACTCACACCTCCCTCCAGAAACAAAGGTGCCAGCAGGTGCCATTTCCCAACCCTGCCCCTCAGCATAAACACAGAGCCACTTGCAGGAGGCAGCACAGTGCCCCCAGTAGCTGCCTAACCTGCTTACACCAAGCGCCACCACCCATGCTCTGGCACAACTGCCCTCCGTCCAGTTTGCCTCTGTCCCAGCAGGGCCAGCCCCTTCCTCACAAGGCCAGCAAAAACTCCTGCCCACACAATGTCTCCCAACCAGCACTCTGCAAGGCTTCAATTCTAGTGGAAGTAGTATTAGGTCTCATATAACAAATAGGCCAGAGCACACTTAATTGAAACTCACTACACTCTGGCCAAGGACCAAAGAGTGCTCACAGCAGGCACACAGAGCCTCTGCAGACAACTGTCCTGAAGGATACAGCAGCCAAACCACAAGAGCAGAGTGGACACAACACACACCAGAGATATTCCCTAAAGTGCCAAGCCCTGGACACTCTCAGGAGCAGGAAACATAACTGACTCTTCTAATACAGATACAAAAGCAGAGACTTAGACAAAATGCCAAGGTAGAAGAATTCTCCCACATGAAAGAACAAGATAAGGTCATAGTCAGAGATCTAAGCAAAACAGGAAAAAGTAGCATGTCTGATAGAGAATTTAAAGCAACATCATAAGGATACTCACTGGGCTTGAGAAAAGAATAGAAGATTTCAGGGAGACTCTTACCACAGAGATAATAGAGTTAAAAAGAATCTGTCAGAAATGAAAAAATGCAATAATTGAGATTGGAAACAGGTTTGAGGCAATGAACACAAGGCTGGAAGATGCAGAGGAATATATAAGTGATATAGAAGACAAAATAATAGAAAATAAGGAAGCTGAACAAAAGAGAGAAAAAAGAATTAGGGAACATAATTCAGATCCAGGAGGCAGAGAGGACTCCCATAAAAATCGACAAAAGTGGGCCAACATCAAGACATATTGTAATTAAATTTGTAAAATATAGTGATAAATAAAAACTCTTAAAACCAGCAAGACAAAAGAAGTCTTTAACTTACAAGGGAAGACCAATACGGTTAGCTGCAGGTTTCTCAACAAAAAACATGATAAGCCAGAAGGGAGTGGCATGACATATTCAAAGTGCTGAGTGGGAAAAGTCTATAGCCAAGAATATTCTATCCTGCAAGGCTATCATTCAGAAGAGAGAGAAAAGGTTCCCCAGACAAACAAAAACTAAAGGCGTTTATGACCACTAAGCCAGCCCTACAAGATATATTAAAGGGGATTTTCTGAGTGGAAAGAAAAGACCAAAAGTGACAAAGACAAGAAAGGAACAAAGAAAATCTCCAGGAACAATGATAAAACAAGTACTAAAATGGCACTCAGTACATATTTATCAATAATCAACACCTATCAATAATGTAAATGGACTAAGAGCTCCAATCAAAAGACACAGGGTGTCAGAATTGATTTAAAAAAAAAAAGACCCATATAGATGCTGCCTATAAGAGACTCATTTTAGACCTAAAGTCACCCACAGTTTGAAAGTGAAGGGGTGGAGAAACATTTATCATGCAAATCAACATTAAAAGAAAGCCATATCACGAGTCAGAGACCCTTAAAGATGTTTCTCCAGAGATGTTCCACTTTCATGTCTTTTTTTATTGTGATCTTGTCAAAAGTCACCAGTCCATGATGGTATAATTTTTGGAATTGTCCTACCAAGACCTGCAAAAGTGGTGTCTTCCTGGTATCCATCTTTTGAGGCTTTCTAGAAGATTTTAGGTTAAAAAAAAAGCCACTTGAGATTGTATACTCTTCTATCTTGTCTTCTATATCCTCAAAACTAGTACCTAATCAGAAAGACTTCTTGCTTCTATGCTTGCATTGCCCTCTGAATCTAAAACTAACTTTTCTCAGATGGTTTAAAAAATGTTTAGGCAAAAATCTCCATTAAAATCTTTGGAGGGAAACAAGAAATCTTTTTCTAAGCTATTGGGGCTTTTCCTCTCAGCCTCTGAATCTAGGGAAATTACCTGAGATACCTTCCTACCCTAGGGTGAGGAGAATAGTCTTTAATAAAGTCTATAGGAAAATCTGAGTATGAGGCTGAGGATAATCACTTCAAAACTGTCTGTACCTATGGTGAGGAGAGGACGATCTATCATTGCTGATTAGGGTTATAAATGGGGGGAGTCATTTTAAACTTTTTAGGGAGCAATAGATTTCTCAGAGCATTGTTCTGGAACACTTAAATACTTGTTAATTATCCCACAAAGAAAGCTCTCTGGTGGCTCAGAGGCTGGTTTTTTGGCGTGGTTGGGGTAGAGGGGTAGAAGGTTGCAGCCAGGTAATGTGAAGGGCTGTGGGGGAAGGGTGATGAGATGTTCTGAAGCTGGGGCCAACTTCATTCTGGGCTTTCATGTTTGTGTGTTCAGTTTGGCTCTGGGCTGGCTCTCTGGGGGGTACATGGGTGTGGTGTTTGCGGAGGCATGAAGTTCTGCCTTAGACTAAATGATGCTTACAGTTGTGATTCTTTTCTACTCCTATGCTGTGCTGAAGTGATGGAGCCTGGGCTGTGTTACAAATAAATCATTTGTTGTTGTTGTGATATATTCTATCACAACATCTATCTATCCATCTATATCAGACAAACTAGACTTTAAAACTAAACAAGAGATGAAGAAAGGCACTCTATCATAATAAAGGGGATAATCCAACAAGAAGACCTAATAATTATAAATATTTATGCATCCAGTACAGGAGCACTCAGATATATAAAACAATAACAAACATAAAGGAACTAATTGATAATAATATAATAATAATAGGGCACTTTAACACCCTACTTACATCAATGCACATACATCATCTAAACAGAAAATCAATAAGGAAACAATGGCTTTGGATGCTACACTGGACCAGATGGACTTAACAGATATGTCCAGAATATTCTATCCTAAAACAGCAGAATACATATTCTTTTCAAGTGCACATGGGACATTCTCCAGAATAGATCACATACTAAGTTACAAATCAGGACTCTGCAAGTATAAAAAGACTGAGATCATATCATGCATATTTTCTGACTACAACGCTGTGAAACCTGAAGTCAACCACAAGAAAAATTTGGAAAGACAACAAATACACAGAGATTAAACAACATACTACTAAACAATGAATAAGTCAACCAGGAAATCAAAGAAGAAATTAAAAAATACATGGAAACAAATGAAAATGAAAACACAATGGTCCAAAACCTCTCGAATGCAATAAAGCAGTCCTAAGAGGGAAGCATATAGCAAAACAGGCCTACCTCAAGAAGAAAGAAAAATCTCAAATAAACAACCTAACCTTATACCTAAAGGAGCTGGAGAAAGAACAAGAAAGGAAGCCTAAAGCCAGCAGAAAGACGGAAATAATAAAGACTAGAATAGAAATAAATGATATAGAAACTAAAAAACAAAACAAAACAAAAAACAATACAACAGATCAATGAAATCAGAAGCTGGTTCTTTGAAAAAAAAATAATAAAATTGATAACCTCCTAGCCAGACTTATCAAAAAGAGAGGGACCCAAATAAATAAAATTATGAACAAGAGAGGAGAAATAACAACCAACACCACAGAAATATAAACAATTATGAGAAGAGTAAGAAAAACTATATGCCAACAAATTGGACAATCTAAAAGAAATGGATAAATTCCTAGAAACATATAAACTACCAAAACTAAAATGGGAAGAAATAGAAAACTTGAACAGACTGATAACCAGCAAAGAAACTGAGTCAGTAATTAAAAATCTCCCAACAAACAAAAATCCAGGGCCAGATGGCTTCACAGACAAATTTTACCAAATATTTAAAGAAGAGTTAGTACCTATTCTTCTCAAACTATTCCAAAAAGTAGAAAAAGAAGGAAAGCTTCCAAATTCATACAATGAGGCCAGCATTACCCTGATATCAAAACAAGATAAAGACTCCCCTAGAAAGGAAAACTACAGGCCAATACCCCTGATGAACATGGATGCAAAAAGTCTCAAAGCAAACCACATCTAACAGTACATTTAAAGAATCATTTACCACAATCAAGTGGGATTTATTCCTGTGCTACAAGTGCGGTTCAATACTTGCAAATCAATCAATGTGAAACACTACATTAATAAAAGAAAGAATAAGAACTATATGGCCCTTTCAATAGATGCAGAAAAAGCATTTAACAAAGTACAACATCCATTCATGATAAAAACTCTCAACAACGTAGAGTTAGAGTGAACATACCTTAACATCATAAAGGCCATATACAAAAAAAAAAAAAAAAAAACCCACAGTATCATTCACAATGGGAAAACTGAGAGCTTTTCCTCTATGGTCAGGAACAAGACAAGGAGGTCCACTCTCACCACTGTTATTCAACATAGTACTGGATGTCCTAGCATCAGCAATTAGACAATGAAAAAATAAAAAGCAAGGCAAGGAAGAATTCAAACTTTCACTAATTGCAGGTGACATGACACTTGATATAAAAAACCCAAAAGACTCTACCAAAAAATTGCTAGAACAGATACATGAATTCCATAAATTCATAGGATACAAAAACAACATACAGAAATCTGTTGCATTTCTATATTCCAATAATGAAGCAGCACAAAGACAAATTAAGGAATAAATCCCATTTACAATTGAACCAAAACCATAAAATGCTTAGGAATAAACCTAACCAAAGAGGTAAAAGACCAGTACTCTGAAAACTATAAAACACCGATGAAAGAAATTGAAGAAGACACAAAGAAATGGAAAAGCATTCCATGTTCATGGATTAGAAGAACAAATATTCTTAAAATGTCTATACCGCCCAAAGCCATCTAAACATTTAATGCAATCTCTATCAAAATTACACCAAAATCCCAATGTAGCCTTGAAAACAACCCCCAACGACCTTGAAAAGGAAAAGCAAAGTTGGAGGCACCACAATTCTGGACTTCAGGTTATATTACAAAGCTGTAGTGATCAAAAAAATATGGTACTGGCACAAAAATAGACACATATATGAGTAGAACGCAATAGAAAATCTAGAAACCCACAATTATATGGTCAATTAATCTTTGGTAAAGTAGGAGTGAATATTCAAGACAGTCTCTTCAACAAATAGTGTTGGACAGCAACATGCAAAGGATGAAACTGGGCCACTTTCTTATACTATACACAAAAATAACTTCAGAATCTATGAAAGACCTAAATATGAGACAGGAAACCATTACAATCCTAGAGTAGAATATAGGACAGAAACCTCTTTACCATCAGCCATAGCAACTTCTTTCTAGATACATCTCTGGAGGCAAGGAACAAAAGCAAAAATAAACTATTAGGACTTCATCAAAATAAAAAGCTTCTGCACAGCAAAGGAAACAATCAATTAAACTAAAAGGCAGCCTATGGAATGGGGGAAGATATTTGTTAATGAAATCTCTGATAAAGGATTAGTATCTGAAATATATAAAGAACTTATACAACTCAACACCCAAAAAACAAATAATCCAACTAAAAAATGGGCAAAAGACATGAATAGACATTTCTCCAAAGAAGACATATAGCTGACCAGCAGACACATGAAAAGATGCTCCACATCACTTATTATCAGGAAAATACAAATCAAAACTACAATGAGGTATCACCTCACACCTGTCAGAATGGCTAAAATAAAGAACATAAAGGAACAACAGGTGTTGATGAACACAAAGTGGTGCAGCCACTATGCAAAACAGTATGAAGGTTCCTCAAAAGGTTGAAAATAGACCTACCCTATAACTCAGCAATTGCACTACTAGGCATTTATCCAAAAAACAGTAAAATACCAATTCAAAGCTATATATGCACTCCAGTGTTTATAGCAGCATTATCTACAATAGCCAAACTATGGAAATAGCACAAGTGTCCATCAATTGATGAATGAATAAAGAAGATGTGACATATATGTACATATATTTCTCAACCATAAAAAAGAATGACATCTTGCTATATGCAACAATATGGATGGAGCTAGAGAATATTATGCTAAACAAAATAAGTCAGCCAGGGAAACATAAATACCATATGTTTTCACTCATACATGGAATTTAAAAAATAAAATGAACGAAAAGGCAGAAAATAAGAGAGAGAGGGAGGCAAGCCAATAGACACTCTTAACTATAGAGAACACACTGATGGTTACCAGAGGGAAGATGCATGGGGGGGATGGGTGAAATAGGTGATAGGGGATTAAGTAGGGCACTTGTGATGATAACTGGGTGTTGTATGTAGGTATTAAGTCACTAAATTGTACACTTGAAACTAATATAACACTATATGTTAACTAACTGAAATCTAAATTTAAATAAAATTGACATTTAAAAAATGGTTAACTTTATCACTGGTACTATGACAAATACTACAAAATAAATAAGTACGAATAATTATGAGATACGATTTTTCCTACCAATTGCGGTGACTCTACTTTTTGGTCAGCCAGATTATGAATATCAGGAGCCAAGAGTAAGCTAAAAATTCCTTTAATTCCAGACCATGCTATAACAATTCCCCATCTCCAATTATATTCATAATTTGCATGCATCAGAAGAGGGCTCACTAATACAATAGTAAGCAACCTGTGGAGTAAAAAACCTTTTTTAAAAAATCACACCTGATGTATCAATGTTTTCATGGTAGAAAACTAAATTTCATATAAAATTTTTTCAGGGAAGAGAAAATAATCAGTTTATTGATAAGTTCGAACTTTCTGGAACAAACTAAATCTGCTGTCTAACTTTTGCATATAATACTCAAATCTTAAAAACAGTGTTAGAAGTTTTATACAAATATAAGGAATTATCATTAACACTATACATTCTGCCCTTCAAATTGGGTAACTCTAGGCAAGCTTTTAACCTCCCTGGGCTCCATCTGTGAAATGATGCAATTAACACCTCTTCACAGGGCTGTATTTTATTAATGGTATAATGTACATGGTAGATGCTCAATAATATGGTTATACCATAGCTATGAGATAACAAATGAGGATGAAAGGTAACAAAAATGTTAGGAGCCATTAATCCACTCCAGTGTTGCTCAAACTTTAACAAACATGTTAAAACAGTTTCCTGGATCTCATCTCCAGAGATGCAATTCAGTACATGGGGATGGGCCCGTGAGTGTGGATTTCTATTGAGTTCATGGGTCATGATGCTGCTGCTGCTGTTCTTGCCCCTTCTCATTTTCTACATGAAACTGAAGAGTAAACAGGTTTCCCCAATCGCTCAGCAAGCATTTGTCAGGACGTTGACAACAACACAGGTTTTCTGACTCTATACCCAGAGCTCTTCTTGCTATAATATACTGCTTCCCAATTCTAATCCTAGGGTTAAGAGCCTAGGTCCAGTAAGTAAACTTAAAAATATAATTCCTACCTTACAAAATTCACTGTTGCAAATAAGATGAGCATGAAAACCACAGTGTGAAATCTTAAATACTTGGTTTCTCCACATCCAATTACAATGCCAAAGAAAGTATATATTAACTGTTGGTATACAGACGAAAACATTATTAGGAACCTAGGATGAATGGAAAACAAATCACATTTTAAGCAATGTGTTTTTTAAATAGTTGCCTTTTCACATAGAAGTATGTATCATAAATAAATAAATAAATAAGTATGTATCATATATCAGTCATTCTTGTCAAGCAGAGGTCCTTGCCTCTAATACTGTTACTATCAACATTTAAAAGTATTTTGTTGGAACTAGAATACACCCGGCTCCATATTCTCCAATACCCTCATCACCCGATGGCGGTGGGCTGCCTCTCATAGAAGAATAGTAAGAGCAAGGCAGAGAAATAAGGGTCTCTACCTCCTCCCCTGGCTGGTGGATCACCTCAATGCAGGATTTCTCCCTTCATGATTTGCTTGAAAGTCCCTTACCTTGAAAGTCCCTCCTCTCTGTTTTCCCATCTACTTAATTCCTAAAGATCTTGTAAGGCTAACTCTAATCCTGTGTTGTTCATGAAACCATCCTAAGTACTCTCAGTGGAAGTGAACTCCTATAGGGTCAGTTGTCTATACCACCACGGTTTGTTAGGCAGACAAGTGAATTAGAATCACCCATATTGCTTTCTAAATATCTATACACATAGCCCCGCCCCCAAAGATCCTTACTGAGTAGACCAGAACATAGTGGTTAGGGCTCAGGGCTGTTCTGGTTCCATGTGGTAATATGCTTGCACCCGGCCAGGTTTGATTTCTACAAGCAGATTGCAAGCCCTGCCTCCTCTTGGGCCTATCCACTGGGACTTTCCCTTTCAGCTAACTAGCTGAGTGTGCTTGTTCCACAAACCAGCTTCCCTACAGATAGGTCTCAAGATCTATTTGGAAAGAAGCATTAGGAAGCCTCATTTTGGCTTCAGAGGGAAACCATGCTCTCTGACACAGCATTACCCCTATTGAATAGATGGTTTGAATTTCTGATTCCCATCTCTTTATTGATTAGATTCAGAACTCAGAGAAAGGAAGGATATAACAGGGACTTCAAGCCCCAATGCTTAGTTTTCTGAAATTCAGAAATGATGGACTAAGTAAAATACTTTTTCAAATGTCTCCGTAAGACCTAAAAAAAGATGTCCTACATATAGTAGGATCCCAATAAATATATAATGATTCACACTTAGTTTCATACATAAACATGCCCACTACTTAACAGTGTGTGCCATCTGAGAAGGGACTTATTTATGTAGGCCCAAACCTAAGATACAATGTCCAGGCCACAGGTGACATTAAAAAAGGATTGGTTGAATAAGTTCAAGAATAAACAATTAAATGAATAGAATGAGGATTTATAATGATGCTGACAGCATGACTGAGCACAGGAAACCGTCCAAATTCAGACAAAAAGTGCATGTTCTATGAACTATCTATTCCCAAGCTTCTGATTCTAAAAACCAGTTAAGTGTCATATTCACATAGATACAAAATTAGAAGTTATAGGTGCCAATTTTTTATTTTGTCAAAAGAAGTTATTTTTTAAGTACCATTTTCTATTATTGGGATTTCATTAAAGAATAAAAAATTAAACACCAAAAAGAAGGCAGGACATAATTTCAGAACAATGGATAGTCCTCCATGTTTTTTTTTAAAAAAAAAAGGAATCTTATGGGAAAACTCAGGATTATGGCTTATTTTTCTAATTTTAACATTTGCTTTCGTTTGATCTACAGTGGGCTATGACCTGTTGTGAAATAATTCTGAAACAATCCCGTAATTTAGCACAGTCTCTCAGAGAAAGTCTAATTCATGAATCTGGGAAGACACAGGGGTTTCCCTCCATCCAGAGAGATTAGTATGACACCCTGCATTACCAAGTGTAAAGGACAGGTAAGAATTTTGCTAGCATCGCATCTTTCTGCTACTTTTCTTTTCCAGCTCCCATATTAGGATGCTGTCATTCATGGACATCATGAAGGAAACAAAGGAATGAAGTACTTTTTTTTAATTTCCCACAGTCCAAAGTAAATTTTTGTCAAGAGTTATGTATAAAAAGACCACAAACTCTGAACCACAGATACATTATTCATAACAAGAACATCAATTGATGTCAACAATTTTTGGTACCTTAAGTTCTTTCAAATATAACTGGTAATAAAATTCAAAAATAAAAGGCAGAAAAATGTTATAAAAGGGAAGTCTTATGTGTCCAAGAAGGCAGAACCACTTAGGCACTAACCTTTTAAGATATCTATACCAAGTACACAATAGGAGACTTACTTAGTAATTGTTAACTCAATCCTCGGTTTAAAGCTTAAGGAATCTAAATTCAGTCCTACAGTGACTAAGGCAATCATTCCTGACATTCCAAAAGATTCCCCTGGGGAGAAAAAAAATGAATAAAATTAGTTGCATTCGAATATGCACACTGAGTTACTTAATCTTGAGCAAAGACTTGGTGAGAAACTTAAGAGTCACATTTCTTGGAAAGTTGCTTCAAGGAATCAGCTAGTCCTGTAGATCATGGTCAGCAGATTTTTTCTGTAAAGGATGATATAGTAAATATTTAGTCTTTGTGGGCCACATAGTCCCTGTCACAACTACTCAACTCAGCTATTGTAGTGCAAAAGCAGCCACAGATAGTATGTCAACAAATGTGTGTCTAATAAATAGTAGAAACTGAAATTTGAAGTGCTTTGGAGTAAGGCAGAGCTGGCTGCTCTGGGACGGTGACCTCCCTTTTCTCTATTAGTATCCTTGCATCTGTAAAATGGGTGTAAAAGAATAATACCCCACAGAGTTGTCATTCATAATAGATTAAATAACATGAAAAGTGCTTTGGCATACTTTTAAAACAAAGAATACATGATATAATCACTACTACTATGCCATTGTTTTTATACATTCACTTTAGTGCTTAGCAAATTAATACTGTTTTTTTGAAGAGAATTTTATTATCTCTTTGGTTTATCTAATCACTTTTTTTTTTAAGATTTTATTTTGACAGAGAACACAAGCAGGGGGAGTAGCAGGCAGAGGGAGAGGGAGAAGAAGAGGCAGGCTCCTCGCTGAGCAGAGAGACTGAGTGAATTGAGGCTTGATCCCTGGACGCTGAGACCATGACCCAAACTGAAGGCAGAAGCTTAACTGACTGAGCCATGCAGACACCCCAGTTTATCTAATCACTTAAGTCCATTTTAGATTTCTTTTTACTTACTTATCTAACTGAATTTAATATAAATAACCAATGATAGTAAAACCAGTAGTGCTGGTAACTGCGATAATAGGGAAACTGTCTCTTGAAATCTTATTTCCACTTCCCTATAATTAGTATTACTGGATTTTAAAGCTCATCATAGTCTTTTTCAGTAATAGACAGTACTTAGAAATGTCTGCTATGAGGAAACCAGTAAATAACTTCATTTAAAACTCGTCATCTTATTTAGCATAATCCAGTGTTATAGGATTACATGGTATGAATGCACACATTAACATATGTATGTATATTTATATGAATTATTTTAGAAGTTGAAGAAATATACCAAAATGTACCCATGGTTTAATTTATAACACAGTTATTGGTGATTTTTTTTTCTTCTTTGACTTTTTAGATATTTCCAAAATGCTACAATCCATATGTATTACTTTTATAATTAGACAGCGTTTTTACAAAATTACAAATGCTATTATATTCAGTTGTATTTTAAATGTTCTGAAAGGGGGGAAAGTCATGGACCACGTAATAAAGGAAGCGATTTTCATCAGCATAAACCTGATTTGTTAAATATAGACTTGTACAGTTTTTCTGACTCAATGGAAAAAAAAGCATCACGGAATATTGATGCTGTATACAAGTGGCTCTCTCAATCTTTGTCTCTCTCATCCTCTCTCTGGTTTAGAAAAAGTGAAGGTCTTCCTAATAGCATCAAAGGGATTTTTTTTTTCCAGTAAAGCAAGAGGATTCAAGACTGGATGTTTTCTTACTAAAATATATTCAGGTAATGACAGAAGGCCTTTGACATTTATCACCTACACCAATGACAATGGTGAAGGACAGTGAACAATCAGAATTGGTACAGGCAATAAAGGCTTACATTGTAGAGACTTTTAAAACAATAAGACTAACAAAGTTGTCTGCTTTTTGTTATTTTCATTCCCCAGAAATTCTGAGTAATGTCACTTGATAAAATATTCCTCATGTTCGTATAAGCACCTCTCTTGATATACCTCTGAACTACACTTTTATAAAGCCCACCATGTCTCATGAATTATACATTTACTCTTCAAGTGCCTTTTGTACCCTAAGTCAAATTTTCTTCCGTGGGCCAATATATTAATATTTTCAACTATACTACCTGTCAACCAACAATGTTCCAGAAGCATTGTGTCCTTTGTGAGGAAATGCCTACACCTTTTTTTGTTTTGTTTTTGCTTTAATTCATGAAAAAGAATGAATGGGCAAATGATTTCTCAAGGTCCAGGTTTCATGAATTGAACACAATTGAGACAAAAATGGAAATTACAGCATGTGCTAAAAGAGGTGACACCCCAATCTAACGTTAATCAGATATTCCCTGGACGTAAGCCAATTGACTGAGTGTTCATTAGTGAAGTAAAAAAAAATTAGGTTAACATTACAGAAATGTAACATTGGAGAATGTGTGGATTAGAATTTTATCTATGTTTGGCAATGGAACTTCTGGCAATGGAACTTCTCCTGATAACATGTCTGTTACTGACTTCTGCTGTCAGGGACTTATTAAATATAAGAGTAAAGGACTGCCCAAAGGGGGTTTTTAATCCCTGAAGCCCAGGAAAGTGCAATGGAGAAGAGAGAAGTCTCCGGGGCTGCTATAACAGAGTAACACAAACTATCTTAAACAACATGAATTTTATGATCTCAGAGTTGTGGAGGCTAGAAGTCTAATATCAAGTCTCCTTCAGCAGTGATTCCTTCTGAGACTAAAAGGGAGAAGCTACTCCAAGCCTCCCAAGTACTGACTGGAAGCACCTCAGAAAGTGGAAAGGAATCAACATAAGTTGGCTGCCCTAACTTGAGTCCAGTGGTGGGCTGGTAAGTGTTAAAAACCAGTTCTCTGGAGGTTTAAAAAAAAATCCCTGATGGACAGAGTCTGCCAATTTCCACAGTGTAAATATTCCCAATATGACCAATTTCAAATGATGCCACTTGCATAGAGTTGTAAAGAGATATGTGTAATCAGCTCTGGCAAAGTGGTAAGAGCTATCTCCAACACATCAGCATGAGCAAGTCACATAACACACATTATCTCATTAATGCCAGCAACACCCCTATCAATTAGGTGTTACTGCATCACTTTTATAGATGAGGAAACTAACTGAAGCTTAGAGAGGATAAATAATATTCCAAGATCAGCAAGCTAATAAATTGTGAAGCTAGGGTTTGAATTCAAGTCTGCCTAATTCCACAGCTCTTCAGGAACTAGTATCAGTTTATTCAACCAACGTGTATTAAATTACTTTCAGGCATACTGAAAGTACTGGGCTTGGCTGAGGGAACAGAGAAAAGAGAATAAATAAAAAGTTGAATAAGATAGCCTCCACCTCAAGGAATTCATGATCTGGTGGAAGAAATGGAAATATTAATTTTTAAAATTTTTTCTTCAGACATTTAAAGCATCCATAAAAGGTTCACTGGGAGAAAAAAAGAAAAAGGATCATGGAAACGACCCTTCAGGGAATGCTGTCCATAATTTTACTGATTCGGAGCCGTACGCAACTCCTGGGTAGCAATTTACCTCCAGAGGAAGTAGCACTTTTAGATAACTGAAGATAACACGAGGGGCAATGAAGCCCTTGATACCAGAGGTCTTCCACAGATGGAAGTTGCTCCATTGTGTGGCATGAGAGCAGAAGCAGGATTTGACTGTTTCAATGCAGTTACAATGGCTCTTGGGGACTGGTTACCCCATTCACGCCAGTAAAAACTTGCATTGCCAGTCTTGCTAAACTAGCAAGTGATTATTGCCAGTCTACCACTGTGGGGCACGCTGACTCCTGTGATTATTCCACTCTCCTGTTTCTCTTCCAGATGCAGGTATACCTGATTTCCCCCTCTCCCTTTCTGCTTCCCAGCTGCTGATAAATGCTGCTATTCCTAGTCTCCTCAGTCTGGTACCCATTGAATGAAAGATAGTTGAGCTGGAAAGACCTTTGAAGCATCTCTCCCAGCAATCTCATTTTAGAGATGAGTTGCTAAGGGTCAGAAGAGGAATTAGCATTGAGCTGATTCCTCCAGGAGACTGCCAGTGACTAAATATAAGGTCAAAGTGTGGAGTTCAAAAAGAATAAAAGAGTAATTACATAGAGAAGAAATACAAAGGGAAGGGACATGGACTTGAAATTAAGGGAATGTTAAGAGACTAGAAAAGAGCCAGAAGTGGCAGGATAATATGACAGGAAGCACAGAGGGACCACAACAAGGAGGAAACAGTTGGGAAGAGGCAACTGGATTCAGGATCAATGGGGGAAAAAAATACATAAAATTCACTTCGAGGACCGCATTTTTTTGTATTTGTTTCTGTCTTACCAATGTAGAAAGTCATGTACACCATGGAAATGCAAAGAATGACGCTAGTAAGTGTATTGCTAAAGAGGTCAGTCAATATAAACTGAATGATTCTTGAACACGAATATCCACATATTATGCTTCCCAAGATGTCCAAGCAAAGGCCCAAGATTACACGGAACTCTAAAAAAAGAAAACAAATGAAAAAAGAAGTTCACTGAGGGCATTTGGGTCTATGCACTTTGGTTTGCTTTTGAGATTTTGAATGGGGTTTTGTTCTTCAGCAAGTGGGAGTTTCCCATGAAAGCCTGGCAACACAGACACTCTGGGAATATATTTCCCTTACAGTCTTCAGTCTGAGGCTCACTTATCCAGGGACAACAGACTCAAATGTCCTCAGAAGCCAGGCAGGGAGCATAAATGTGAAATCTGCGACACACTGGAGGGTGAATGCTCAACCAAAAGACATCCAAATTCATATTTTTTACAAAGTATGTTAGGGCCAAGCAAATCATGTTCAGGGTCCCCACCAACCTTCAGTCCATTTGTGCCCCCTGCCCCCATCCCAGGGACATTTGGGAAATGGAGAAGAGAAATTTTCTATAATCACAATAACTGAGGGCACTAGTGGCAGTAGTGAGCAGGTATCAAGTAATGCCCAAGCAATGCCCAAATAACAAAGATGGCCCCACCCCAAATGTCTATAGCTCCCCACTAAAAAAGCACTGCAAATCCTTCTTTACCACTAATATTTCTTTCTCCTTTAAGCACCTCTCCTCTCCTAAAACTATCACATAAACAGATCAGGAGGACACCTTTTCCCTTTTTGTGCTGTGATTTCTGCTCCCCTCCCCCTTTCTTTTCTACTAGTACCACATCTGAAAACCTAGCAAGGCAATATGTTCCATATCCCAGTGAACTTTAACCACATGAATCTATAATCGCTTCTAGCACCTGACTTTCCAGTACTTCTTGAAGCATTCTGACTTCACCCTCAAGCTCAAATTCAGGATCAAGTCAATTCTTAGTATCCACCCATTGAGATCCAGGTTGATCCAGGAAAGAAGTTACTCTGAGCCAGATGATTGATGTGTGTGTGTCTGGGGGGGGTTGGAGGATGGGGGTTGAAGGAAAGAGATGAAATCATTTAATATTCTTTCCCCTTTACTATCCAAGAAAACACATAGATGTTTATTTTCTTATCATCTGATATGCTATTTTAATTGGTCCAAAAGTAAATTATAGAGAAAGCAGTAAAGTTAAGACATTTTGAATGTATTTTATTTTAATTTTTTAAAGATTTTTAAAATTTATTGAAGTAATCTGTATACCCAACATGGGGGTAAACTCACGACCCAGAGGTCAAGAGTCACATGTCCCTCTGACTAAGCCAGCCAGGCACCCTTTAATGTATTGTAATTTCAGTGTGAATTGAAATGCATCATACAAGAATCATTTTAGAAAATATGCAAATAGGGATGCCCGGTTGGCTCAGCAGTTGAGCATCTGCCTCTGGCTCAGGGTGTGATCCTGGATTCCTGGGATCGAGTCCCACATCAGACTCGTTGCATAGAGCCTGCTTCTCCCTCTGTCTATATCTCTACCTCTCTTTCTATGTCTCTCATGGATAAATAAAATCTTAAAAAAAAAAGAAAGAAAGAAAGAAAGAAAGAAAGAAAGAAAGAAGAAAGAAAGAAAGAAAGAAAGAAAGAAAGAAAGAAAGAAAGAAAGAAAATATGCACATAGAAAAGATGCCCCTACCAGTAAACATGGAAATGTGGAGAAAGTCACTCCGAAAAACTCCAAAACAAATGGATGTGAAGCCACAAATGATCATTGATTCTCCTCTTATGATATCAGTATACGTTTTGGAAACGCCTGGAAAAGGAAATATAAAACATAATTTAATTTGGTACATGAAATGATGCTCTTGCACAGGAAACACAAAAATACAAGAGAAGGAATATGTCAGACAAACAAGAAAAAAAAAAGCCATGATTGGGATGCTCCATGAGACAACCATAATCACCATTTTTTATCTCTCCAATAAGAAAGGAACAGGACAAGAGTATTCTTTGAAGTGTCCATGGCCTCAAACTATGCTTGAGTTTTGGGATGAGACAAAACACTTCTCAGGACGCAATATTTAGCTTGAATAAACATGAATCATTAAACTCCACAAAAATCACATTTTAGGAATAAATACAGTGCCTGGGTGGGTTAGTTGGTTGAGCATCCAGTCTTGATTTTGGCTCAGGTCATGATCTCAGGGTTATGAGATCAAGCCCTGCATCAGGCTCTATGCTGGGTGTGGAGCCTACTTAAGATTCTCTCTCTCCACCTCTCTCTGCCCCTCCCCTGGCACACACACATGCTCAGGCACACTCACACACACACACACTCTCTCTCTCTCTCTCTCTCTCTCTCTCTCTCTCCCTTTCATATCAGACATATGCCCAAGAGAGTTGAAAGTCTATGTCCACACAAAAATCTGTACATGAATGTTCATAGTGGTATTATTCATAATAATCAATTGAACTATTCAACCACAGAAAAGAATGAAATATTGATTGATATATGTTACAACACGGATGAACTTTTAAAACATTATAGAGTGAAAGAAGCCAAACACAAAAAACATATTGTATGGTTTGATTTGTATGAAATGTCCAGAATAGGCAAACCCATAGACAGAAAATAGACTACCGATTGCCAGGGGATTGGGGGACAGGGAAATGATGAGTGACTGCTAATGGGTAAGAGATTTCTGTTGGGTGATAAAAAATGTTCTAAAATTAGATAGTTATGATGGTTGTATAACTCTGCAGATATAGACCACTGACTTGTACAGTTCAATTTTGTTTTGATGGCTGGAATGTAAGTTTCTTTTGCTTATAAGAGCTGCTACCTACTAACCTGCAGTGGCCTGACTCTTTCTTTATAATCTCTCCCTGCCCTCCACGCACGTACGGGGGTCAGTTTCAAATTGCACTCAGGAAATGCCCAAGAGGGTTGCTAACGAATATTCAGCTTACTACTTTTTGCTAGCTTTGACTGTGATGGAAGGCACAAAAATACTGGTTAAACAGGTTTAGAGCTAACAGGATTTTGGCTTCAGCTGGTCAAGAAATTCTTTCACATTTCCCTCAAATTCAGTGAGTCAACCAGGAACACGTAAAATACAAGGTCTGAAGTATGAAGCTTTGAATTTGACTTTAGTTGTGTTTAATGGCAAAATACCACAAGAATTACTCTCTCATTCTTTATTGGCTTAATGTGGAACTAACTTATATTCTCTAATTCATTGTAAAATTTGGAAAAGGAAAGAATAAAACAAACAAAACAAAACAAAACAAAGCCCATGCAATTTCACAACTCAGATACAACCTTAATGTTGAGGTCTTTTTTTCTAAGCTTATAAACTTTTTCCTCAATTGAGATTATACTATAACTTTGTATTTTCTTCCTTTAAAAGATCCCATTCCAGATTTGTTTTATTTTTTTAATAGTTTATTTATTTACTCATGAGAGAAACAGAGAGAGAGGCAGAGACACAGACAGAGAGAGAAGCATGCTCCTCTCAGGGAGCCTGATATGGGACTCGATTCCCAGACCTGGGATCATGCCCTGAGCCAAAGGCAGACGCTCAACAACTGAGCAATCCAGATGTCCCTCCAGATTTGTTTTAAAGTAAAAAACTGTGTGAGCCCAATGCATTCTTTTCAAACAGGTTATGAATAGACAAGTTCCTTTTCATTCACATGTGAACCCCCACTAATTTTTCAGTGGGTCAGGACACCGAGCCTGATGCATTGCATAGGGCACCACATCAAAAGAAGCACTATTTACATTGTAGGAACTGTAGTTTTGTATATTATGATAATTTTAGACATATAGCAAAAAATATTTTTCCTTAAAAAATTAATGTGTTATGACAATTAGAAATAAACTGTTTTGAAGAAAGGACAATATAGAGCCTAAATGGTGACTCTGCAAACACCATAAATAAGCAAGAGTGATATCCCTCCCTAAAAATGAGTCAAATTTGTCTTACTAGGAAAAAATGTTATTGGATCCAGAATCCACATATCACCTTGAGCATTACTGATTTAAGGAAAATATTAACTAAGAGCTAAATACTTTTACTAGTTTTCTTTTAAAGAAATAGAAAACTTTCTATTACACTTTCTATTATTACACTTATTATCTATCTATTACACTTTCTTATTATTACACTTAATATCACTTATTTACACTTTCTATTACACTTATTTCTATTACACTTCCTTTTTGAAAAAAAGTTAAATGCAGAAACTGCAATAAAGTTTATAGTTTACTATAGCCACTTATAGTCAAGAGATTTCAGAAAAGGGAACAGGAAAAAATGAGGTGAATAAAACAACTGGCCAATACAAATGGCTAAAAAAGAAAGGCAGATGAAGGAAAAATAGGATAAAAATTGTACTTAGAAAAGAGAGAAAGAAAAGAGGACAGGATTAGACTCTTTGAGAAATATGACAATTTAGGATATCACCACCAAAAGTGTCTTAAAACTTACATTTTCCCAACTGCAAATATAAATGGGTGGTGTAAAATTGGTAATTCCACTTGCTGGCAAGTTTAGAGGTTTCCCATTCCAATCATAAGGCAATATATTTTCACTAAATATAAACAATACCTTCAAATTGGTTAGGAAAATATTTCTGAGTCAAAAACAGAAACCATAGCATCTAATCATTTCATGTTTTTACTACTGCTAATAAAACATGAATCAGGGGGATATTTTAGAGTGAAATTATCTATTACCAAATAAAAGGGGAAGTACTGCAAGACCTGAAACTCTCTTGGGAATAAGCTATTATTGAACATGTTTGCCAAATTATATTCTTACCCATTTCTTTTTTTTTTTTACCCATTTCTTTTAAATAAACTATACACCCTTCCACTACCCGCTTAAGGTTAGCTAGTCCAAAAGGGAGGTAGTGCTTTTTTTCTTTCTTTCTTTTTAAAGTAAATGTGTGTGGGGTGTTGTTGTTGTTGTTGTTGTTGTTTTAATTTAAATTTTAGTTACCTAATATACAGTGCAATTTTGGTTTCTGGAGAACTGGATTCACCACTTACATACAACACCCAGGACTCATCACAAGTGCCCTTCTTAATACCCTTCACCAATCTATCCCATCCTCCGACTCACCTCCCTCCATCAGCCCTTAGTATGTTCCATATTGTTAAGTGTCTCTTATGGTTTATTTCCCTCTCTCCCTTACCGCCCCCCTTCCCATGTGTTCAACTATTTTCTTTCTTAAATTCCACATATGAGTGAGATCATATGGTATTTGTCTTTCTCCAACTGACTTATTGCACTTAGCATAATACACTCTAGCTCCATCTACATTATTGCAAATGGCAAGGTTTCATTCTTTTTGATGGCTGAGTAATATTCCGTTGTATACATATACCACCTCTTCTTTATCCATTCATCAATTGATGAACATTTGGACTCTGTAATAGTTTAGCTATTGTTGATAATGTTGCTATGATTGTTTTCTTTGCTGTGCAAAGGCTTTTAATCTTGAAGTCTCAATAGTTCATTTTTGCTTTTGCTTGCCTTGCCCCTGGTGATGTGTCTAGTAAGAAGTTGCTATGACTAAAGTCAAAGAGGTTGCTGCCTGTGTTCTCCTCTAGGATCTCAATGGTTTCCTCACATTTATGTATTTCATCCATTTTGAAGTTGTTTTTGTATAGGATGTAAGAAAGTGGTCCAGTTTCATTCTTTTGCATGTTGCTGTCCAGTTTTCTCAACACCATTTGTTAAAGGGACTGTCTTTTTTTCCATTAGATATTCTTTCCTGTTTTTGTCGAAGATTGGTTGATCATATACTTGTAGGCCTAATTCTGGGTTCTTTATTCTGTTCCATTGATCCATGTGTCTGGTTTTGTGCTAGAACCATAGTGTCTTGGTGACTACAGTTTTGTAATATAGCTTGAAATCTGGAACTGAAATGCCTCCAGTTTTGTTTTTCTTTTTCAGGATTGCTTTAGCTAATTGGAGTCTTTTGTGGTTCCATACAAATATTAGATTGTTTGTTCTAGCTCTGTGAAAAATGCTGGTGTTATTTTGATCCAGACTGCATTAAATGTGTAGATTGTTTGGGGAAGTATAGACATTTTAACAATGTTTGTTCTTCTAGTCCATGAGCATGAAATGTTTTTCCATTTCTTTGTATTCTCTTCAATTACCTTCATAAGTGTTCTACAGTTTTCAGAGCACAGATATTTTAACTCTTTAGTTAGGCTCATTCCTAGGTATCTTATGATTTTTGGTGCAATTGCAAATGGGATCAATTCCTTTATTTCTTTTTCTTCTGCTTCGTTATTGGTATATAGAAATGCAACAGATTTCTGTACATTGGTTTTATATCCTACAACTTCACTAAACTCATGCATTAGTTCTAGCAATTTTTTTGGTGGAGTCTTTTGGATTTTCTACGTAGACTATCATGTTATCTGGAAAGAATGAAAGTTTGGTTTCTTCCTTGCTGATTTAGATGCCTTTTGTTTCTTTTTGTTGTCTGATTACTGAGGCTAAGACTTCCAGTACTATGTTGAATAGTAATAGTGAGAGTGCACATCAAAAGGGAGGCAGTTCTAACAAGAGGTAGCAGAGCCTTGGAAAAGTTTCCCTGGGGATAGGACAGAGTTTCTACCTTGACACTTAGAATTCAGTGGAATGGAATAAGAATGCTAATTTATATTACCTAGAAAGGTCACTTTTCTTCTTGTTCTATTGCCTTTACTCTCACTCATTAGCATGATACTTGGCCCATAGTTGGAATTCAACAAATATTTGCTAAATGAATGGGTAAGTGGTATCAATAAGAGAAAGAGACTTAAGAAATGAATAGGCTTTGGCCAGAGAAATGGAGGATGTAAGAGGAGTATTGCGTGAGGATGGAGAGAACTTTCCTGGCAGAGAAAGCAACCTGAATCAGCTCCTGGAGGGTGGAAGGAACATAGTATGTCACAGGAACATAAAGAAGACCAAGTACACTGGGGTTACAGGGAGAAAGTAATGGGGTAGGGGTCAGCTTGTCTTTGAATATCAAACTGAGGACTTTAAACTTTATTTGAAAGGTCATTGGAAACTGTTGGTGGGTTTTAAGTAGGGAAGTGACTTGCTCAGCTTTTTTTTTGTAAAACGGTTCTATCCAATATGGCAGCCATTAGACCCACACGGCTATTTAGACTTAGATTAATTAGAAACAAACAAAATTAAAATTTCATCTTCTTGGTCATATGATCCACATTTCAAATGCTCAAAAGTCATGAGCAGTTAGTGGCTATCTTAACAGAAAGCAGAGCTATAGAATATTTCCATCATTGCAGAATGATTCTTTGGATAACACTGTTAAAAAAGTTGGACACTGCTCTGTAGTAAGTGGTTCAGAGGGGACAGTTCCAGTGTACTGTAAAACTTGAACCTAAAGACCTAAATGTGAGATATGAAACCATGAAACTTCTAAAAGAAAACATAGGCAGTAATCTCTTGGACATTGGCCTCAGCAACATATTTATGTGTACATATCCTTGGGCAAGGGAAATAAAAGCAAAAATAAACTGTTGGGACTACATCAAAAAAAAAAAAAGAAAAAAAAATCCGTTGAAGGATGCCTGAGTGGCTCCACTGGTAGTGTCTGCCTTCAGCTCAGTTCATGATCCTGGAGTCCTGCAGTCGAGTCCTGTGATCAAGCCCTGCATGGGGCTCCCTGCTTAGCGTGGAGTCTGCTTCTCCCTCTCCCTCACCCCACTTGGGCTCACTCTCTCTCATAAATAAATAAATAAATAAATAAATAAATAAATAAATAAATAATTTTTAAAAAATAAAAAATCCATTGAGATTATAATTGTCATTATTTATCCCAGATCTTAGGTCACCTTATTTGCATTGCATCTTTCAAGTCAACCAATGCCCCATCTGCAAGAAAAGTAGCATAAATATCTATTCCACACAAATCATGCACAAATCATGCAAAAAAAAAAAACCCAGATCAAAAGAAAATAATTTATCCTTTTATTTTCAATGTAAGAAAAAGAAATAAATCTGACATACCAATAGTTTTCAGTGAATTCACAGAATGAACAGGATCTGTCATGCCAACGATCATGCTAAAGAGTATGGAAGACTGCAAATCCCACAAATCTTTATTGAATTTCAGAACCACATATCCAAGTATGATGAATGTCATAAGAAAGCTAACTAATCCTATTAGCAAGACCTGTGAAACCAATTCATAGCACAGTATTAGATTTAACATTTAAAGATGGCATGACTGCATTTACTTATGGAAGAATCAGATCTTAGTTACATATTTTATATGTAACTCTGAAATTACTCTGAAAAATAACTTTAAAAGGTATTCTAGGTTACCTGCCTGGAAGAAACCATCCCTTCCTAACAAAAGAGATTCTATCTTATTGTTATAAGAACAATTCACAATCTTTCTTGTTGCTAGTCCAACTTAATAGTTCCTAATATCAAAATGTTCTTAAAATGGAATGCAAATTTTTCCTGCTTTTGTGTTTCCTCAGTGTTGATCTCCAGGGCCGCAGGCAGAAAAAGAGGTAAAACAAAGGGCAAAAAGCACATGCTAGCTGATTTGGCCCTCTTATTAAGAGCTTTCTAGAAGCTTTATTCAACAGAGGTTTGTATATACTTCATTAGCCATGCTCTTTTCTGAGGCTACACAGCTACCACTTGATGAGAAATAGAATAATTCACACTGGGCCCACTACCCTACCAAGCAAAATCTAGTAAGTTTCTGTTAATGAGAAAGAAAGGGAGAATGCGTATCAGATGGGCAATTAGTAGCAGTGTCTGCCTCAAAAGTAGAAATTGAGGGATGCCTGGGTGGCTCAGCAGTTGGGTGTCTGCATTTGGCGCAGGGCATGATCCCTGAGTCTGGGATCTAGTCCAACATCAGGCTCCTTGTGAGGAGCCTGCTTCTCCCTCTGCCTATCTGTGCCTCTCTCTGTGTGTCTCTCATGAATAAATAGATACAATCTAAAAAAAATAGAAATTGAATATAAAACTTTTAAACAAGAAAAAGGAATTAAAGGATAAAGACAACTGAACCAACTTAAGAAGGAAAGAAAGAATGAGAAGCAAAGGAAAAGCATGGTAAATGCAAAGTACAAAATTGAGAAACAAATTTAAATCTATTTCTTTTGATTTTTTTAAAGTTATTTTTAATTTACATTCAGTGAAATTCATTCTTTTGATGTAGAGTTTTATGAATTTTGGCAGATACAGTCATGTAACCATGACCACAATTAAGATACAAAACAGATCACTCAAAAAATGTCCTCAGGGCACCTGGGTGGCACAGTTTATTGAAGTGTCCAACTCTTGGCTTCAGCTCAGGTTGTGATTTCAGAGTCATGAGACTGAGCCCCACATTGGGCTCCATGCTCAGTGTGGAGTCTGCTTAAGACTCTCTTTCTCAAAAAGAAAAAAAAAAAAGACTCTCTTTCTCCCTCTGCCCCAACCCTCTCTCTGTCTCTCTCTGTCTCTGTCTCTCTCTCTCAATAAATAAATAAATAAATCTTTCTTTAAAATGTCCTCATGCTTCCCCTTTGTAGTTAATTTGTTTCCCTATCCCCAGTCTCTGGCAACAAATGATCTGTTCTCCAAACCTACTGTTTTGCCTTTGCTAGAAGGAAGGTCTATGAATGGAATTATACATAGGTAGCCTTTTGAGTCTGGTTTCCTTCTCTTAACATAAAGGCATCTGAAATTCTTCTATGTTGTGCCTGTTAATGTTCCTTTTTCATTGCTGGATAAAATTCCTTTGTAAGATGTGTCACAATTTGTTTATTCATTCATGAGCTGAGGAGCATTTAAGTTGTTCTAGACTTTACAGATTATGAATAAGGCAGCTATAAAAAAGATTCACACAGGTTTTAAACATAAACTTTCATTTTGCTTCAGTAAATACACAGAAGTGGAATTGCTGGGTCATGGGGCAAGTATATGTTTGTTTGTTTTTTTATGTTTAACTTTTTAAAAAAACTCCTAAACTGTTTTCCAAAGTGGCTGTACCATTTTGCATTCTCACTGCATTCTTACCAGCACTTGGTATTATCAGGCTTGTTACTGTTGCTGCTATTACCATTCCAGTAGATATGTAGTGGTACATATCACCGTGCTTTTATTTCTCCAATGACTTATGGTGTTGAGCATATTTCCTCAAATGCTATTTTCTGTCCATATATCTTCCTTGGTGCCTCAGATCTTTTAAAATATTTTGTCCTTCTAAATATATTTTTATTTGTTTTATTTTTTCTAAATCTATTTTTTAAAGATTTATTTATTTATTTGTTCATGATAAAGAGGGGGAGAGAGAGAGAGAGAGAGAGAGGGGGCAGAGACACAGGCGAGGGAGAAGCAGGCTCCATGCCGGGAGCCCCATGTGGGACTCGATCCCGGGACTCCAAGATCGCGCCCTGGGCCAAAGGCAGGCGCTAAACCGCTGAGCCACCCAGGGATCCCTCTAAATCTATTTTTAATCACAATAAATACAAAACTAGTTTTTCATGTAGCAGAGAGTCTCAAATAACAAAATAACAAAATCTAATTATATGTCACCAAAAAAATATCTAAACCTAAGACCACCAAAATCTTGAAGGTGGAAGGATGAGAAAATTGTAGCAGGGAAATACTAAGCAAAAGAAAACTGGAATGACTATAGTAATACCAGATGAAATTGAAGGCAAAAAGCATTAATTGAGATAAAGGGAAAACTAAATAATGAGAAAAAAATTAACTAGGAAAATAACTACTTGTAGGCTCTTAATAATAGTTTCTATTTATATAAAGTAAAAACTGGCAGAATCACAAAGAAAAATTGATAGTTATCATGGAAGCTTGTTATATTAAGTTGAAAAACAATACTGGCAAAAATATAGAAGTCCAAACTTCATAATATGCAAAATAATCTACTGAACAAATTTAGATCCCTGTACTCAATATTAGAGAATATATATTCTTGTAAAGCAAACAGACCATTTTGGAAAATTGAAGTATTAGGCCACTAAGCAAATCTGCACAAATCACAAGAATCATTATACAAAACACATTCTCTGGTCACAATGTGATAAAACCAATAATAATAAAAAGCCATATTTGGAAATTTTAAGGTAACTTCTAAGTAATTAATAGGTTAAGAAGCTAGTAATCCAATTAAAAATGGACACAGGACCTGAATAGACATTTTTCCAAAGAAGACATATGGATGACCAACAGACACATGAAAAGATGTTCAACATAACAAATCATCAAGGAAATGCAAATCAAAACCACAATGAGATGTCACCTAACACCAGTCAGAATGGCCAGTATCAAAAAGACAAGAGGTGACAAGGGTTGATAAGGATATTAAGAAGAGGGACCCTCATATACTGTTGGTAGAATTTAAGCTGATACAGCCAGTGTGGAAACGATATGGAGATTCCTCAAAAAACTAATACTAGAAGGAACATAAGATTCAGTAATCCCACTTCTAGGTATTTATCCAAAGAAAACAAAACACTAATTCAGAAAGATATATGTGTCCTTGTTTATTGCAGCATTATTTACAATAACCAAGATATGGGAGCAACTGAAGTGCCCATCAACAGATGAATGGATAAAGATGTGGCAAATATATGAAATTTGCCATTTTTGGCAAACGAAAAATGAATTTGAAATAAAAATTCAAAAAAATGAAATTTTGCCATTTGCAACAACATAGATGAAATTAGAGGGTATTGTGCTAAGTGAAATAAGTCAGTCATAAAAATAAAAATACCAAGAGGGTCCACGACGGCAGTGGAGTAGAAGACCTTAGTACTGTCTTGTCCCAGGAATTCACCAAGATAGCTATTAAATTATTCTGAACACCTGAGAACTCAACCGGAAATCTAAGAAAAAAATAGCCACAACTCTACAAATAGAAAAGCGACCACTTTCTGCAACAATGTAGGAGACGTGGAGAAGTGAATCTGAGGCAATCTATGGGAAGATAAACCACGGGGTGGGTCGGGGAGCCTCAGGCAGCCACCTGCTGAAAAGGGATAGAGCCGCAGAGGGCAAAATTAGAACTTTTAGAAGTCTGCTCCTGTGAGGGATCTCCCTGCCTGAAAGGGGCTCAGGCAAGGAAGCAGGGACAAAACCCAGGTGGCCCAGTGTGATCTCAGGATCCCTGGGGTCACAGGAAGACCGGGGGTGCCTGAGTGTGGCAGAGTTCCCAGGCACTGGAACGGGTAAACCAGCCTCAATCTGGGAGCCCAGGAGTGGGCTCTCAGCTTGGGGTTGCCATAAACCATGAACCCCCACCCAGTCAGCATGACCATTCCTTGAACAGGGGCCCAGCCAGCAGCAGAACCCAGGAGGCCCCCCTTTCTCCCCTGGGAGGAGTGGTATGGGAGCCCACTGCAGACTACAGGGTTTGGGGGCCCCAAATGGGTTGCATGCCTGAGATGACACACTGGGTCACAGGCTGGGTGAGCGCAGAGTGGAGACGGAGTCCAGGGGGACAGGAGTGAGACTGCTTTTCCCTGAGAGCGCACTGAAGAGTGAGGCCCGAGTTTTTGCCTCCAGGGCTGGAGATTGGGAGGCTGCCATTTTCATTCTCATCCTCTAAAGCAGTGTGTAAAGCTTTCAGGGAACAAAAAGCAACTAGAGCAATCCTGAGGAGATTACTTAGCCTGGCCTCCTGGTGTGGGTGATGCAATTCCACCCAGGGCAAAGACACCTGACAATCAGTGCAACAGACCCCTCCCCCAGCTTAGCAAGAACATCCAGCCAAGACTAAGTCTATAACATTGAGAACAGCAAAACTCCAGCGCTAGAGGAATATAACATAGAATTCATGGATTTTCCCCCCACGATTCTTTAGTTTTTCAATTTTAATTTTTTTCTCTTCCTTTTCCAACCAATTTCTTATTTTATCAATTCTTTTTTAAAAATCTTTTTTTAGTTTTTACAGTTACATTCTACCCTTTCATTGTATTTAATTTTATCTTGTATATGTATGTTTTTCTTTCTTTACAATTGTGGGATGAAGTTTCTTCTAAAAAACAGGCCAGAATACACCCAGCATCTAGTGTATGGCTCTATTTCCTTAACTTGTCTGATCATATCTGCATTTTTTTTCTCTTCCTTCTCCTCCTCCTCCTCCTTTCTTCTTCCTTTTGTTTTTTCTGTTTTGTTAAAGTCTTTATTTTCATCTTCATAGTT